CTAATGAGATTTTTAAAGGGGATATGTGAAGCACTTCATCACCACATTAATTGTGAGACAACTTTACTAAATAAGATCATCTAACAGCTTCACTATGATGGTTTTTGTTAGATTTTTTTTGGGCTAAGGTCTGTAGGGGCATATTACCACGTCTTAATGTTTACTGGTAAATCAAACATCCACAGGAACCAACTGAGTTTGCCAGAAATGTGGTTTTAATTTTGCAATACATAGCTTTTATTTTGGTCTCAACTGGTCACTGTAGTCAAACCATGGATGTTTAACAGTGCTATGCTGTTATTTATTATTACTATAAATATTGTTAAAGTAATATTAAAGCCATTATATGACTCTCATTATGTCTTCCTCTATCATTTGATTTCGCACAGTAAAAAACAAACATAAAATCAGCCAAAAAAAAGCAATTATCCACATCATGTTTACATCTCTTTGCTAAGGCAAATGGACCAGCATGCAATGCAGCAGACGACTGAGACAAAGATGCAGGATTCCAACACATTTTCCATGCCACAATTTCACCCTTTTTCCAAACCTCAGTGTCTCACCTGACAATTTTTTTTAAGAGAAACTATTTTTATTGCATTTTTCAAACCTTTTAAATAGTTTGGAAAGTTTTTGGTTGTTTGTTAAGAACATTTATGTTTTAATAGTATACTCAAAAGTGTTTTTAAACACTTTGCAGCATATAGAAACACATTTGAATTAAATTTCAAGACAGAACTAAATATTATCAGTTTGCAGTTTCTGTTCTGATTCTGCTCCATCCTGTACACTAATGCTGATATAAACCCAAATCAAATTTTGTCTTAAATACAGTGGGTGGAGGTGAATAGATCTTTTTTAAACCAATACGTTTGTCTACTATTACTATTTTTTCTGTCTCTATGGCTAAAAATAAATAAGAAATGCAGCAGTAACGCAGGGAGCATGCAGTGAAATGAGAAAAAGCTCCAATACCCACAGCTGTGTACCGACATGTCCATAACTATGGCATATAGTTTTGGGGGATCATCTGGGTCCAGCCCCATGAATTGTTGATTTGGTTTTGTTTTATTTCTAAAGTGTCATGGGGCCATTTTAACTGAAGCTTATGCAAAAAATCCTCAAAGAACCAAAGTCTGGTTCAGCGGATCTGGAAATCAAAGGTTGCTGATGAAAAATGTGGATGAAACAAAAGATACTAATGTGGCTGGACTAGGGAGGATGGAGACGTTTTATGGGCCAAGACGCAAATTTGGATAAAAAAAAAGATTTAAATAAAAGGGAATTTAGACTTTATATTTTTACATTTTACTTTGAGTTTTAAATATTAGTTGTCTTTTGGGGGAAGTATAACATTAAAATTTGACTTTTCTTTTTCTTAGGAGTTTTAAATAAATTTTGAAGGGATCAATTTATGGATATTGGGGCTCAACTCAATTTTATGACTGTAGCATATGTTTAAAATAGCCAGTAAAATCTAGGATTCTGCTTTAAAACCTTACTTTTGTTATTACAACCTTTTAAAACCAGGTCTACCTTTACAATGTAAATATTAGTTTTGGTTGAATTCCCCTTTAATTCATAAAATGGTAACAAAGTCTTGTTCACATTCGACAGGCAGCAAGCAGTGGCAGCCGTCTCAAACAAAGTCTTTGGTGGGATAAAAGGGATTGAGGAGGGAAGTAATAAGAAAGTTAGGTTCACTTTCTTTTTTCTCCTCCATGCTATTAGTCATTCCCACAGGTTATTGGGCTAAGGGCAGGGCATAGGCGATGCTGGGTAGAAACGTAGGTACCTCCTATATCTCCGAGAGTACCTTCTGAAGAGCCTCCTATTTTTTAGACCCTTACTGGAGCAAAAGAAGGAGGGATGAATGCAGATGAAGAAGAAAGAGATAAAGGAGAAAGGAGATTAAAAGATGAGTTCAGCAGAGGAAGGACAAGAGAATTTCTCTACTATCATGATGCACAGTAAACGCACAGTGAGAAGGTGAGAGGGCAGAGGACCTGGGAGAGAGATGAGAATGGGTGAACCGGGCCGCAGTGGAAGATTCACCTACTTCAAATACTGTATAGTTATGATGGAAATTGATGACGCACATCACACTAGTGCCATCAAACTACAGCTATATCCAGTTATAAACCATTATCTTACATGTGTATAGCTTGGACACGAACAGGTCCAACAGCACCTAAATCATATCTTGATTGTCTTGTGACATATGCTGTGCTGACTATACCTGCCTGTGTGTGTGTGTGTAATAATTTTGACTACTTCTTTGTTTGATTTTTATTTTTAGGAAGCAAGGAAAGTAATCTACAGGTTTCAGTATGTTCTTAAATGATGAAACATAGTGTCCAGGGTCAAAGAGGTCAGAGTGATGATTCATAAAAAAGTCTGAATCATTTGCTGATTACTATTTAAAGGTTTACCCACATCCCCCTTTTTAACATCAATACAACTGAACTCAACTTTATTGTACCAGGAGATACATGCACACACAAACACCCAGGCACACCTGCCCGCACATATTAACACCAAAATAATCCCCCACATCCTTCATTTCGTGTTGCCACTCACTGCCAATATCCATTGCACTTGCACTCAGCATGATGTCTGTTGTAGCACTTTGTGGTGTGTCTGATGTTTACTACTCCTGGTGTTTACAAGTCTGCTTAAACAAAAACCACCAGCCATTTACCACGGCACCTACTGCCGCCACCAAGCAGCCAATAGTCTGTAAAACCACTAACACAGGGTGTTATGGATTCTTTTTTTGAAGGGGAATATAACACACAGTATAGATACCGGCTTTCATCAAACTCGATTTGACAGTTCTAGGTGAAAGGTTATCCAATCAGAAGCTGTTCTCCCTCCTGATAGATGAATCTAAAAAATAAAGACCAGGTAATGATGCAGTTTGTAATGTTATATAGTGAATAAAACAAATGGTACATAGAAAGTATAGTAGTGATTTGTATATTAAATAGAGTTGAGCTGATATTTAGTTTCAAAAATGAGGAGACAACAGCTATTTTAAAAAAAGACAACCATTATTATTGGGGTTTCTGTTTGTAATGTTATATAGTGAATAAAACAAATGGTGCATAGAAAGTATAGAGTTGACCAGATATTTAGTTTCAAAAGAGGACACGACAGATGTCCTTGAGTTAGGTTTGAGTAATTGTAGAGGTGCGAAACAGCTATTTAAA